TAAAATGCTTTTTTTGTACATTCCCCTCTAATCTTTGCCACAACCAAGATAGATAAAGAATCCCAAGAAAAGTGAGGGTCATTTGCTTGCCCAAGTTTCTACAGCGAGACATTCCAATTCAGACTTTTTATATTTCAAATATGGGCTGTTTAACCACTATGTTATATTGCTTCATCACTACTGTCAGTCTTAGAAAATGTTAGTAGAATCTTGCCATTATCATGTCGGCAGCCAACTGAAATTTTTAGGAGTCTTACCCACCTTGGATCTTTACGAAGGCGCTTTGTTAGAAAATGGCGGTATGGTGTTTTCATATGTGAAGCAAAAGTATTGATGAATTTTACTTTCTGTGTGTGTGACCACAGATTCAAGTGACTGTTAGGCATATGCCATTTCTTGGGTATCTTTATGTATTGATACTCAATTTATCTTTTCTGAGCATTATGTTAGCATTTGAGGATCTGATGTTTATAGTTTATAGTTTAGTTTGTTGCCACTTCTTACCCCGGGGAGTTTAAAAACATTGAGGCTGAAGACCTGCTACCAAAGATTCCGATTTAATGCTACTAGTTGTCATTAAAATATTTTTTTTTTTTTTTTTTTAGAACGGGCTGACTTACAACTCCTGAAATGTTCAGTGATACTTTTTTCTTTTTAAGCCTAATGTGGTAGCGTTATTTCTGAGACCTACAGCAAATAAAATATTCTACAATTAAGGACCAGATTAGTCTGCAGGTATAATCCAGGAGAAAAGTACACAGGCGATCTGGTCAGTTTATCTTGGAAGCATCTTATTTGTCATGTAACTGGGAGAAGTAACCCCACCTCCTGGCAAGAAAACCAGTCAAGGGAGCCCAGACCATTGTCTCAGGGTGGCTGAGGCCACTGAAGGAAGGAAATCCTGTTCTAAGGAACGTCTCCACTTTTCCTTCTGGAAACCCTTTTCTTCCTTGTGGGCCCATCTCTTTACTGACTCTGATTTGACTCCTTTGAGGTGTCTGTTCTTTGGTTATTTGTTGCCAGATGGGATTTGAGCAAACTAGTCTTCTTGCAACACATTTCCACACTTGCCTTTAACCTCCGACTTACATAGTTCTTGAAAAAACTTGGAATTAGAAGCCACACAGAACACTGCAGACGTCCTCTGTACTTCATTTTGGATGGGTTCACAGGCCAGAGGCTAGAGTTCAGTAGACCTTCTATAGATCAAGGTGCACGAATTAAAGGTCTGGGATGTCTTAAGCTGTTTTTATATGCCAGCTTAAGCCAAGAAGAATAGGGAGGCGGAAGAGGGAAGTCACAATCAGAGTTGTCTGCGTATGCTTTTCCAAAAGGAAATTTCCATACCCAACATGACGATCGGACTTACTGACACATGCATTTCTTAGGAATCGTAAAATAATCTTAGTTCATTTTGTGAGTGTGCGTGTGCATGTGTGAGTATGTGTGTGTGTGTGTTTGCATCAGCAGGAACCATATGATGAGGTGACTTCTGTCACATACCCACCTGTTACAGCTGTTGACCTGGAAACGGGTTGGCCACTGAGTTGTCATGATGATTCAATGTAGAGTTTAGACTTTGAATGTGATCAATAAGCTCTCATAGTCTATACAAAAAGACATTTCTTCTGCTTTCTTGTAGCTTAATCTTTTGATCTCGGTGTTTCTTATCACCGTGAATTATTTTCCGTCTCCACAAAAATTTTCCAGTTGAAAACACACTAGCTCTTCTGTTTATGGAACTTGTTACTCCGTAGCAAGCACGGTTTTAACAAAGCCGTGCCACGAACCCCATTCAGATAGGACCCAAAGATCATATCACATGTATTTTGCAAAGCTAAACAAATGTCTCCTGTGGCAGCTTCTTTAAAATTTGTTATCACTTTGGCTGGTGTTGAATGTCTACCACATTCTACTGTGCTGCTTTGTACTTCATAATAGTGATACTACCCTGGGTTTAACCTAGTACTGTTATTTATCAGTCCGCTTACTTGATGGCATAAAACTTCTATTGCTTATGTATGGCTTGCAGACTTGCGTCCTCTTGTTCTCTTTCCCTTCTGCCTGTGGGGTCTGTTTTGCTTCATTAACTCTTTGTGGTTTTGCTCTCAGTTGTGTTTAGCATGCCATAAAGCTGGATGTCCACAAATGCATGAAATGGTCAAAATGTGCGTTACGAAACTCCTCACTGCCCTGTGTCTTCGTGCGTTCCCTGGCGAGCAGGGGCCTGTGGCTTTTCACAAGGTATTTGACTTGGCCCTTTGAGCCTCTGGCAGAGATACAGGACTGGGCCTTTTTGAATGTCAGTTCTGCACTACGAAAGCAAAGGGCAGGGGGGAGGTAGAAATGATATTGGAGATACTACAAGAAGAAATTGATGAGTCCTTTCCCGGAAATTCAGCCTGCCTTTGGACTTGGTATTCTCTTAACTTCTCTGATTCAATGTGCTCATTTTAGCACGACCTCAAGGTAGAGCAGAAAAACATGCACAAAGTGACAAATCATTGGCCTTGAATATAGTGGTCAGGTTTATCATGGAAACCCTAGTTTGAAGAACCTTACTGGTTTACCAATTTATTATTATCACGAAGCAAGTGAGAGAAGCTTTTCTGAAGATGTCAAGATAGCTGATAGAGCATCTCTTTCTGTGGACTTAAAGGTAGTGATATTATCAGGTACATGGTCTTGTTATATTTAAAAGGATACTCTTTTATCAAAGTATACCTCCAACTTTAGCAGAACGAGCTTCTTGGATTAATACGTCTCAAAGCAGAGTAAACATGCAGTGAGTCATTCCCAGTATTGTACCCCTGATAGTAGCAGCTATAAAACACGAGAAATGGTGGAGACACTAAAACTCAAACGCATTTGGTTTCTAGGAGGTTCTTGTCCATATCCTGTACTGTTTATGTTACATAAACCCCATTCCTCACTTGTGCTTTCCTTCATGCGTCTAAAGTGACTGATACAATTTTCGCAGGGAGGTCGCATGGGGGGTAAGGCTCTCGGTATTAAAAAGAATTGTGCTTCTCTTGAGCAGGAGGTCAGCTCTTAAAATAGCTACTCTTTTATCTGTACTGTTTCCACAACTTCAAAATTCCCCTTAAATGTGTGTCACAGCTCAGAGATCTTAAAGATCTACAGCTATCAAGATTTTGGGGGAGAATGTAGGATTTAAAGAAAACTTAAATTCTGAGGCACGACTCGTACTGCTGTGCCTACTTAGACCACAGAGAATTTGGTTCGTCGAAGTGAAACACCACCTGCTTGGATGGATTTGCAAGGTTTATGTGTCTTCTCATCACATGCAACGTAAAAGCCCCCTGAGATTAAGACCCATTGTTTTCTAAGTATGTATAACTTGTGCCTTCAGGTACATTATGATCCATGATCATTTGAGAAAATGAATTTAACATTGACATGCCCTTCAATGGTAATTTGAAAAATAAATATTTTGGAATCTGCTTTTGTTTTTTAGCTAAAAATGAATTAATCTGACCCAAATTCCAAATAAATATATGAGTTTTATTTTTTTATAAATTTATGAATTTTAAATGCTCACTGGACTATCAAGCATTTCATGAGAGATAAATTAAATTGTTAGAAAGTATTTACTTTTACATCATTAATTTTACCCAGAAGGTTACGACAGTGACACCTGGCAGAAAGCTCCAGCTTAAGCAGTAGAGGCAACAAAAGTTAACACTTAGTCTCTCTCCCATCTCGCTTATCATCCATCGAATTAAATTTGCCATTTAGGTGAGAACACTTTATTTTCATTGTAGATAATCTTGGAGCTATTCGTAGAAAAATAATTTAGGTACGTTAAATCCCTTCTTTTCCTTTTTGTGGGTGTAAACTTAGGAGACTGAAAAGGATGACATACCTTAAATAGAGAAAAAAGTGGATAAATTAAAAGCATGTGTTTATTGTGACACCCATTCCTGTAGCTTCCGGAAGAATTACAGGGAGTAAAACCTGAAAAGTCATGACATTAAACATCATCATCATCACATGAGGGATATTGTTTTTTCAAATTGGGATTCCTCCAAGCTGCAGCCACCAGGGAATCTTCTCAGGTCCAACTAGACATTCAGACTCGCACAACCCAATCTGCTTCGCAGATACAGGACAGGGAGTAGAAGCAGGACACTGGCCGGCATTTCTGTCTCACAGGAGTCCTTGGAACAGTCCAGAGGCTAGTCTGTGCTCTCAAATGTCCGCCTTGGAGCAAGAAGATGAGAGCCACCTTGATGGGTGCAGTCACGTTGGCTTAGGAGCTCCCACGTTGCAACTATGTCAGAACCAGAATTTCTGTAAAAACCCCACGAACAGAGCTAGGAAATGTCCCTCAGAGGCTGTGAGCAATGACAGGGTTCACCCAGGTGACAGAAACCTGTGACTGTTCACAGGTTTGTGAAGTTCATCCACAGCTTTCCCAATTCAGATGCAGCTTAGTAATTAAGAGACACCTTCACCCCAAGCCATGCTGCCCAGTCATGTAGCCGATGGTCCACCTTTACCAAGTTTGCAGAAGGACACAGCTAGAGAGTGAATCCAAGATCAAGCTTGTTTACAGTGCAGGAGAAAGGGATTCACTAACCCGTTTCCCACCCTTCATAACTCAGAAGCTCATACATTCCTTTCCTGTTTTGCCATGGAAGGAGCTTCTCCTGATTAATTTCCAGCCACCTGAGTATTTGCCCTAGATAGCATTATCTGGCATATCTAAAACTCACTAATTTGCATCTTCCTATGATGCTCAGAATAATAAGCTTCTAAGAGTGGTAATATTTAGGAAAATGTTAGTTTTCCTATAGGCTGAAAAACAGATTTTCCGGGATTGTAAATATTTATAGCACTCATGGATAATTGGTCCTAAAACAGGCTGACTTTCTATTTGAGGAGGATTTAATAGCTTCTCCGGTTAATTCCAAAGCATGTTGGTAATGAACTGTTATCTACAGAGCGTGTGTGTTGCTATCTTATTTCTTTACCAGGTGTGCATTGAGACATACATATGTAGCTGTCACCAGCGTAGTATAAACACGGCTGTGCGGGCAACTCTCAGTCAAATGCTGGGTGACTTGGCTTTACAGTTACGACAAAGGCAGGAAAATACGGTGAGCAATGTTGCCGGTGTCTCTGTGTAACTGCATGCTGTGTGTTCCACATCCTAGACGCTCCCTCCCTCACCCCCTGCTGGGGCTGCTTCCTACTGAAACAGTAGGAAGGGCTTGCTTGGTTTAGAAGAGCATCAGTTCATATAAATTAAGCTCTTTAAGTATATTTTTGCCTGTTTAAAGCTTTGAGAGTCGTTTCTCTTTATGGTTTCTACTCTTTTTTTCAGTTGTTCTTTTATAATTCACTTGTCTTTTTAAATCATTTTTTAAAACTCAGATTGAAGGGGCGCCTGG